TTCATGTTATTTGTTGAATAGATTGGTGTGGCGTTTTATGACATGCTGTTGAATGTAGATCAGTGTAGCAGCCATTTAAATTACATGGATCCCATCTGTGACTTCCTGTATCATATGAAGTATATGTTTACTGGTGACAGTGTAAAAGAGCAAGTAAGTTAAATTTAATTATTTTTAAATGATATTTGACTTAGCAAACTTGAACATACGGTGCTAAATCTCATTTTGTTTTGTTTTAAGAGAGAAGGGTTGATATTAGATCTTTTAAGGCTATAGTAGTAAAGTAAGTATATAATTTCTCCTACTTTCTTCCCTTGATATTTGCAAGAGAGTATCTGAAAAAGACTTCGGGAATTAATTGTAGTAATCTCATTGGGAAAAACAGTGTAGCCACTTAGAAGACCAGAGAGGTAAAGGATTTCCTACTTTCCCCACTGATTAGGGCACACTATGGAACATGGAACAAATTGCAGCATGTCTACAAGACCGAAGCCAGATTGTCAGGAGACTAACTTATGAAGACTGTTTGAAGAACACAAGCTTGCTTAACCCAAAGAAAAAAGTACTAGGGAATTATTCATGTCTTCACTATTGGAGCGTTCCCATTTGAATAAGAATCAGATTTGTTCTGTCTCACATAAAATGCAATAAGAATTCTGGTAAAGTTAAAGGGATACACACTCTGACTCATATGTGTGGGAAAGAGCTCCTTGGATCATCCCTGAGTTTTCTGTTAGCACGAAATAGAGACTGGGCTATTTTAGAGGGGAAGTAGGGAAGATAGGTGTGAAGTACTTGAATGTCATTTCATTTTTTCTTTTTTCTTTTTTTCCTTTCCTTTTTTTTCTTTGGTCATTTTTAAATTTAATTCTGTTATTTTTTTATTAGTGTAAATTACAAAATAAGGGGTTTATGACATTTCCATACATACATACAATGTACTTTGATCATAGTTATTCTCTCTGTTGAAAAGGAAGGAATTTACTATATCACATGAATTCTAGTCTAATGAGTTCTTTCTTTAGAGTCGGGAATAGGAAGACATTGACTCCTTTGTCCCTCAGCAGGGATGTCAGAATTGACATGTTTTCTCTCATGAAAGAAAGAACATTTGTCTCTTTGTGTCTGCTTTTAAAACATAGAACATGGGGAGAACTGATAAAGAAATGTTTTTATATACATATATGTATATATATTCATTCTTTATATTTGTGCCTAAGATTCTTTGGACACAAGGGAATACAAAAAGTTATTAATAAACTGATCTTTCCTCCTAAAGTCAAAGAGCATTTGAGTAAAATTATGAGCGTTGTCAAACAACTTGATGTATTTATTTCCTTAAATTATTTTAAGAGTAGATCTTAAAGTCTACTCTTAAAATCTACAAGGCAGTTGCTCATGCCTTGTAATCCCAGCTATTCAGGAGACAAAGATAAGGACAATCACAGTTTGAGATTAGTCTGGGGAAAAGGTTAGCAAGACCCCATCTCAACAAAACAATCCAGGCATGGTGGTACGTACCTGTCATCTCAGCCATGTGGGAAGCCATAGGTAGGATGATCGCAGTTCCAGCCCAGCCTGGGCAAAAAAGTAAGACCCTATCTGAAAAATAACCTAAAGCAAAAGGGGCTGGAGGAGTGGCTCAAGTGGTAGAAACCTAGCAAAGGCAAAGCCCTGAGTTTAAACCGTAGTACTGCCAAGTGTGAATCAAAACGAAACAAATTATTCAGAGAACTTTAGAATATACGTATGCTTCATGCTTCTGTGAAGATGGCATTTTGAAGGTTCGTTGAGTTGTTAGAAGTATAAAATTTCCAGGATAAGCTATGCTTGCTTTTGGTAGTGCAGTGAGTGGTTATTCTTTATAAGTGCATATCTATGTATGTGAGAGTACATAAACGTGTAGATACATATATGTATATATACCTCTCATGGACACACATAAAATGTGTATGGAAGGGAGAACCCATGTTCTCTCTCATATAAGAAAAAGAAATTGTAACTGTTTTCATAAAGACATGTATAGGAGACATGTAAGTCAGTTCTTTAAAGGTAGGAAGTTAAAGTTCTTTGGTCCAAGTACTTTTACATATGTTTTCATTTTGTAGGTAGAGAAGATTATCTGTAATTTAAAACCAGCTTTAAAACTTCGTCTTCGATTCATCACACACATCAGCAAGATGGAACCAGCTGCAGTACCTCAACAAGCCCTAAGTAGTGGGTCTCCAGCACCACAGTCCACACAGGGGCCAGCGTCCTTACCAGTAACTCAGTGAGCCAGGTTACAGTGGTAAAAATGGAAATAATTCATCCTTGAACGTGGATTCAAATCTATTTAATCTGAACACAGTCATGCTGTAATGATGTAGAAACAGCAGTGATGTTCAGATTGTGTTATTTTGATTCATATGGTGAATCTCTTGACACTTTACAATTCCCACCTCCCTATCTATATTTTTATCTCTAAGAGATCAAGTAATCTGTGTTGTTCAATTCATAACAATTTTTTAGATCTCCATAGAAACCTAGAGGTGTCTGTGATCCAAGTGACTTTTACTGGGCACTTTCAGTCTTTCCTATTTTACCCTTACCCATTGTTTTTGTCTTTATTTTTTATTAACTGATGGCATATTTACTGTTCAAGTATGTTATTTTAAAGGCACAATACATGTAAAACAGTCATTACAAACCTTTTTATACATAAATCTCCTTTGGTCTGTCTTCAGAATAATAGAGCTTTTTATCAAATAAGGAATGTAGATTTCATTGCACAGAAACAAGCAAGGTTTCATACTCTTTAAAATAGTTCTCCCAATGTAGATTGACAGGTTTTTGCATTTGTTGTGAATATACTTATGAAATAAGTTGGAAGCTGTGTAAGAAAATAATATCTGAAAACGTATAAATCTAAATAAAACCATGCTCAAATGATCGATTCTCCAGTCTGTTTTAAAAATAAATTAATTGCTTTTACAGGTTGATACTCTCACTTGGCAAATTATGGTTCTTTAAATTTTTATAATCTCAAAAAATTTAAATATTTATATTTCTAAATATAGTGTACATTTTAGTTCTTTAGGGTTTATTAGATTTTGAAACACTGTTAATTTGAGGGGAAACGGTATTGTGAAAAACTTGGTAACTTGTAAAGTCTGTTATGAATAAACTTATGTTTTCTTTAACTTCCTGATGAATGCACGTCTATCTGCTACTCAAGGCACTGGGCTACCCCATGTGTTCTGTGCTGTAGTTGGTGACTGAAGTGGCCCAGGAATAAGAGTTACTGGTAATTCTTATCTCCACATTCATTCCTCTTAGACCTTTATTTTCTTTGTAGTTTATTTTATCACAATCACTAAATCTTTATTTATCCTTCAAGTCCAGCTTCAAATTTATGTAATGGTATAATTAATTCTTCTTAATTCTTAATGTTCCTAAAATTCTTCATAAATTTTATGGTAGAATGATTCCAATTATTCTTAGCATAGTCTCAATATCTTTGTGCATTGAGGAATGTATCATTTTTGTTTTGAGATGCTAGAATGGGAGTAATTGTGACACTAGTATTACATAAAATAGAAGAAGTGAAAATCAGTATTACCACTTTCTCAATGACACTTACATTTCAATTTATTAAGAATTCAGTTTTCCCTCTAGCTTAAAAAATAGGAATATGATTTTTCCTGAATAGGTTTTTAGAGTTACCAATCAGAGACATTAATAGAACATAGAGCTTTATTGGGGTTTAAGATACAGCTGAGGGAGGAAAATGTCTTTGTATTCATTATATCCTTTAAAAAGTTTTTTAATAACTTTAGAGCTGCTCTGTCTAATAGGACTTTCTGTAATAATGGAAATGTTCCATACCTTTGCTGGTCAGTACAGTAGTTAATGGCTACATGTAGCCATTAAACATTGGAAATTTGGAGATAAATTTTAAATTTGCCTTAAGCTTTAAGTAAGCACATGTGGCTACTTGTATTAGACGATATACTCTAAGGATAAATCATAATTAATAAAATATATTACAAAGGCCATAGAAGCAGTAATTAGACTTAAATTTCTGGGTTCCATGTGAAAACTCAGATAGTAGAGGCTCTTTAACATACAGCTATTAACACAATACAATTAAAAACTATTTCATGGAACCTACTTCACTGCACAATTCCCTTGGGTTCTGACATAAATTGGGAAGAGGGGAGAGTTTGTGTCTCTAGTTTTGATTACCTTAATCAGACATACTGTGCCGATTAGCTAACCAGAATTACAGTGCTTAAAGGGTGAAATGTTTTAAAAATACAGATAATTTGGGGTGAGGGCCTAATCTTTATTAGCATATCGTGGAAATAATGTAGCAGCTTGATTTCTCTGGCTCCTAAGTAGATTTTGGGAGTATCTTCTACTTCTCATTGGTTACCTGAATAGCAACCATGCTTAAAATATCAACAGTGTCATGTGTGATGTTTAGAAAAAGTAAAGTAGGGTCACCTAATATTAATGAACTTACAGATTACCCAAGTCTATGCTTATCCATTTTACAAATGAAGAAACAAGAACCAGAAGTTTTAATAGCGTCACTAAGATCTTAACAATGTTTTAAGGATGATTGTTTCACTAATTTTTAAGAATCTATAAGTAGTTTTAAGGAGGATGTATACATGCATGTGTGTGTTGCATGTATTTAGAAAGATGTAGACATCAGAATCTTATAAAGAGTTTATTATAAAAAAAAAAAATCACATCTTTTAAACAACATGGATATACTGTATTTCTCCAGGACACGTGCCTTTGTTTCCTACTATCAGGAGTCCTACTCTTTTTTGGGGTGACATATTGATGTACATTTATATCAGTGTACATTTAAATGCCAGCACATTTTTAATTAGAAATTAATTTATACATCTTTAACAATAAGTCTTTTGCTGAAATGGGAAATAAAACCTTTTTAATTTCACAAGTTAGAATTTCCAAATTCTAAAATTCACATCAAGAAAGAATTAGTAGACTATACTAGTTGGAAAAACATTTTTCAGGAAAAACAAATCTTTGGGAGCATAACCGTTAGCTTAAGTAAATTACATTTGCTGATTAGGTCACTTGCTATGAGGTGTTGTTTCACTTAGGTGGGTTAAGATAGTTAGTCATAGGGTCATGATTACCTTCCCGAGCAACCCCAAAACAAGCCAGTGTTACTGCTACTGCTGTATTCACTGTTCGAGTTACTTCTTCTGGCGTCTTCCCCAGAGATGGGTTTACTTCCATTATATCTAGTCCTGAGAGTAGCCCTACAACAAAAAAAAGTAGTGATGTAATTGATAAAGTAGTTGACCTGTTAACATCAGGAGAGACTGAATTCAAAGGTTAGTGAGTAGTAAAGAGGTGGTGACTAGTAGAAAACACTGTAGTTACTGCTTCATGTAATACACATTCTGGAAATGTCAATTAGGTCTTGGTGTTCAGATTAGGAAGGCATAAATATCTACTGCCCAAGTGTATAATTGCTTATGTATCACCTCCAATTTTCACCTACCTGTCTTATAAATTTCTTCTGTAATGTAGAGACCTTCTCTGTAAGACAGACCTCCCACGACAGGTGTGCCAGTAGCAGGTGTGAAGGATGGGTCCAGTCCATCCACATCAAAACTCAGATGAATTGGTCTTTTCTTTCTTTAAGAAGGGAGAAAAGATTTCAGTTTAAAGTGGAGGGTTTAAAATATTGTAGACAAAATACAGTTCTTACTCTGCTTTATAAAAATAACCTGGTAAAGTTTCAGGATTTTACTTAAAGATTTTATTAATAACTTAGCATTTATGAGAATAAGCAGCATGCATCATACCTTCCCAGTAGATAGCTGAATGTTTCTTCCATCACTTTGCCAATGCCCAGTTTATCCACTTCAGTCATTGAAAAATATTTAATACCCAAAGTTTTAATAATGTAGCTATAAAAAAAGAAATATTAAGATTATCTGCAGTTAATAAGACTGACTCTCAGGATTAGGAGTGTAGCTAAAGTGATAGAGCTCTTGCCTAACAAGTGTGAGCCCTTGAATTCGAACCTCAGTACCAAAAAAAAAAGGATCTTGCCTGCTGTTTCCTTTTACAGAAAAGATCAATGTGGTAAAATTTATAAAGTAAGTTCTGTGATTTGTATGCACACATCCTTACTTGTATTCAACAGCAAGTCAATTAAGTTATACATTGCCTTAATGCATACATATGCAAATGTGTGTATATGTGTGTTTGTGTATACACACATGTATTTTATATATATATATATATATATATATATACATATAATGACTTGCTATTTAAAATAATTTTCAAGTTTGGCCACTAAAACATATCTAGCACACAAAAGAACAAAATTGAAAGTAAATCATGACAAAGAATAAACTTAACTGTTCCCCAGGGTCCACGTCTCTCAAGCCAATATACACAATATCCTTGGCAGATATGCAGGGAGTCACCCAGGAAAGTCCTGGTACATCAGGGATCTAAAATAACAGGGTTTCCATTTAGGTCAATATGTTTCTTGAGCAAATCCTACATTTAACGTTAGAGACAGTGGACTGCATATATCTTACATTTAGAATATAAATTCAGAGGAATTCATTTTAAGATAATACAAAATTAAGAAGGGAGTGTCTGCTTCCCTTATACCCTCGATTACTTTGGCCTTACCCTGTGGCTCAGGCCTACTCCCAAACACTTATCAGCATGGACCTGTCCTGTGCCCCATTTCTGCTGGACCATGCTTTCCCAGAACTCTTAATGTCAAGAAATGAGTGCAATTCTGTTACTTGAGTAGCTTCCATCTTTGCTTTCTCGGTGAGGACTTAATTCAAAGGGTGGCCTGGAGTGGCTGAGGGGAATGTTGAACAAGAACTTTGGATGCTCTTCATGTCGTAATGTGATGACAGATGCCAGCTTTGTCCTGGACCCAAGCTTGGGAGTTCCCAGGTGTTTGACAGTTTGAAATTTTGCAAACATGTCCCTTGGTCATCAGTTCAAAAAATGTTACTTCTGAGAATTTGTCATGAGTTTTGAGTTCTCTCGTATCATCACAAGGACCAATATATTACAACTGCATAGATGAACATTTTGTTTTCATTGATATCCTAAGCATATCAATAAAAAATTATGAGCTGGAATTTCAACTCAATCTAGAATTTTAAAATGTTTTAGAAAAGTTTCTAGAGAACAGAGAGATTTCTTATGATTTAGATAGTGCTTCTTAGAATAAAGATGCTAAATAAACCATTTGAATCTGTCTTTAAAATCCTTTTTTAATAGGCTGTATGATGGAGAGGAAACACTTTGTAGGAAGGAGAGACACTACGTGACATATAGAGGGAGAATGGGAAGTAGGATACCAGCCCTTGCTCTACAATATGCTTGATGCACGTTCTTAGGCGTATTGGTTCACCTGTGAACTCTGCTAACCTGTTTATAAAAGATTTGTCTGCCCCACCTACTAAGAAGAGGAATACAGTCAACCCTCTGCATCCACGGACTCCTCCAACCAGAAATTTAAAATGTAGACCCATCATGGTTTGGTCTACACCTAATGTGCTTTTTATCCTTATCATTCCCTACACAATACAACTGTATAACAATTTTCATAGCATTTGTATTGTAATAGTTATTTTAAGTAATCTAAAACTGATTTAAAGTATATGGGAGGATGTGCATATGCTATGTTATTTTATATGAAGGATTTGGGCAATCATAGGCTTTGGTGTCTGCCAAACCAATCCCTCAGGGATACAGAGGGACAGCCATATGTGGACTCAGTTTGCAAACTATCAAAGAAGGTACAGCCAGAGAGTCTTACCACCCTTATCAATCAATCTTTGGCTTATTTGCTGCAAACAAAATGGTTTCAGATTACACCAAGAACAAAGTGCCATAAGATGCTTCCTACTTGCCTTCCATCTTTTGAGCTACTACAGAGTACTTGACATTATATGGGAGTGCCAACCAGCCTTTTACCTTTCCTTTCAGTTCCTTCAGGAGGAAAGATACGGGCTGTCCATGCAAGTTCCCACTGGTGGTTGTCACTGGAGTGTTGATGTCAGTGTGAGCATCCACCCAAATGACACCAAGTTCAGGGTGCACCCTGGCATGGCCAGAGATGCTCCCAATCGCCAAACTTCAGAGGAAAAAGAAGCTTACAATGTCATCACATATATCATTAGCTCAATGTAACTCTTAAGTCCAAGTTGCTGTTTCTCATAGGTTTTAAATTAGAGATGCAAACTAAGCACATAGAGAAGGTATAGCCTACACCCACCCATATTATTCACACTAAGTTGTAGTTACATCACTGGCACTACTGACAACTTTGTGATGATTTTATTTAAAAAAAAAAACACCAGCCATGCAAGAAATTCCTTAACATGAAATGCTGTTCAATTCCCAGAGTTAAATCTGATTCTTTTCTACACTCATCTCTCCTGGTAAGTACTTGATTTTCTCAAGTGAATTGTGGCAAAATCCTTTAATTTGATCTTCAAATCTACTCTTCTAATTGGTGAGTATCTCTCAGAAGTTCCTACATTCCCTACAGGTAGTCTTTCAGTTACTCAGAGTCTCTGCTTTAATTGTCACCGCACATTGATCCACTCTTACTGAAGTTCCAAACCATCAAAGCCCATCCCAAATACTCTAGACTCTAAACATTTTGCCAGAATGGAAAATGTAAGTGGTATGGAGCACAGAAGTTAAAAGTTGAGGATTTACTTACTATGGCCTGTATTATCCCACTTGTGAACATTTAAGTATCATTAAAAGAATCATAAACTTTCAGTTTCTTGAACTGGAAACAGTTATGCCTCCATGTTCGGGTTTTGATTATTCATCCAGCCTGGTGTCTGTTTTTTTCTGCTGGTTTCTTCTCTTTTGGCCATTTGCCACTCTTGAGGTTTCCACTTAATATAAACCTTTCCACTTGAAAAAGAAAGGAGCCAGTCTCTCAATTGTGACTTTATTACAAAGACCTGGTGAAAGTTAACTTTCAAAGAGGAAACTGGAGCAGTATGCTAATTAGCTCTCACATGAGCCAAAGGAATGTTCCTGCTTCTATCTCATCAGCCCTCTCTGGTGACATTACCTTCGAGTATGAACATCACAAAGGTTCCATGCACAAAACTGACTTGCCACATTATTTGTAACCATGAAAACTGAAAGTAACCAAACTATCTGGCAATATGGATAATAAATATCTAGCTAGCAAGACAGATGCCATTCCTTGATGAAAAATTATGTACTAGTCAAAATAAATGCTTATGTGGTTATGTGCATACTACCACAAAGAACATAAGGCAATGTGTATGGTAGCCCAAGGGTGTTAAACTCATCAGTGTGTGTGTGTGTGCTTCCAAAAAAATTTTTATACTACTTGTGTAGATTATATTGCTATCCTAAATGAGTTGTGTGTATCATCAGTAATCAAGTAGAACAAATTATGAATTTCCCCAGTGCTTAATTAATAAGAAATGTAAGCCTATGCTGAATTTTGCTGAAATCCACTCATATTTTGTGTTTTCTGCTATAATAGATTTTGTAAGATTTCAAATAGAGGTAAGTATGTGTCTTCATAATAAAATAGCCTATAAAATGTTTTAAGGCAGAAGATATAGCATAAAATATCAGTCAGTGCTTTCCCATCTGTGTTTTCTCTCTTCTTATGATCATGGATGTACTTCCTTTTTGTCACTTGTGCCCAAGTCCCAAGGAGATAGCCAGTCCACAGACCTGTGATCTCCGCCCAGCACCACACTGACTCTTCCATTCTTCTGGACTTCTGCCACGACATCAGCCAGCTTCTCATTGGCTTTTCCCACAGCCCTTGGATTCTTCACAATTTGGAAGGGACTGTCATTAGGGACCTCGGCAAAGGACAGGTCCCCATAGTCTTTCACATCACACTCTATGGTTAAAAGTTTCAAGTTACCAAATAGAAACTCAGTCTGCATAGGATGATTAGAAATGTACAAAACAAGCATGTTTTCAAAAGCATAAGCAACAAAAATGTCTGGAAAGACAGTAAACATTGTGAAGGTAGTAATCATGTCTGCTTTTGGGTGACATCATTCCTGGCACCTGCTATGTACCAGGCCCTCCATAAATACTTCTTGACTCAATCCACTTAGGCTAGGCACTAAAATATACCACTGGTTTTGGTAACTTTCTGGTTTTAACCTAATAGGGAACATCACTGCCTTTGTCTCTATCTATAAACATCTCTCTGCTTTTGTGGGTTTTTTAACCTTTCTATAATACACGTTTTTGTAATAAAGAAATAGTTAATTATGTCCTGAATAACATACTCCAGAAATAGTTGAATTTGCCCTAAAGAAAATAGACAAGTATTTTCTAAATATTTGTACCAACCATCCTTGATCTCAATCCGACCCAGCACCTGCTGAAGCAGTTTAGCTTCCCCTTCTTCCATCATAGCTGCCTCATGGTGGTGTTGTCAGAAGTAAATATGTATTTAACATGGAACCTCACACTTGAGAGCACTCAGAAGATACAGGCTATATTATTATACTTTTTATATAAAAAATTTCAAGTAATCCAAAGTTCCTAGGGATCTGAATGTGTTCCCTAAAAGGCCCTGGAAAAAGGATTTGAAACTAGAGTGCTGCCTGTAAAACCATGATCTGGATCAATTCCGTGTTCTGAACTAACTAGGCATTGTTTATTATATTTATTATGTCTGTGTGTATTCCAATTCGGTAACACCTCCAAGAGATTTCACCCATATAACATGTGAACTATACTCATGAACTAAGGACAAGACCATTGCCCAAACTTTCTGTTTTCTATTGGGGGTCTTCTTCCCTCCCTCCCTCCCTTCCTCTTTCCTGTTTCCTTCTTTCCAGGGAGGTATGATATCTCTAGTGAGGTATAATTATGAAATATAATTCTTATTCACTAAAACTTACTAATCTTAAGTATACAGGTCAATGAGTTTGAGAAATATTTATCATCTTGTAACTACCACCATAATTAAGATGTAAAACACTTCCATTCCTTTTTTTTAACTGGCAATATTGGAGTTTGAACTCAGGCCTTATGCTTGGTAGGCAGGTTTTCTACTTGAGCCCTTCTGTTCCTTTGTACTCTATTCCTGCCCCCTCCCAGGATTTGCAGGCCTGCTTCTTTAGCTATGCTTTTGTCTTTCTAGAATTCCTCAATGAAATCAGATAATATGTGGTCTTTTGCATCTGGCCTCTTTCCCTTAGCATGCTGGGTTTTTTTCAGACTCATCAGTGTTCTTGTCTGTGTCCTTGGTCTAATCCTTTCCATTGTTAGTACTGTCTCATTGTGTGGATAGACCCTTTTTTATTTATCCATTTATCAATTGATGGGCATTTTGTTATTTCTGGGTTTTTAAGAATTATAAATATTGCTACTACCCATTCAAATACAAGTCTTTAAGCGAACATAGGTTTTCATTTCTCTTAAATACCTAGAAGTAGAATTGCTGGGGTCAAAAGGTAATGATATGTTTATTTAGGGTGTTGTCAAACTGCCTTCCAAAGTGGCCACATCATTTCTCATTCCCACTGGAAACACACAAGGGCTCCAGTATCTCTACAACCCTGCCAGCACTTCCTCCGGGTTTATATTGAAAGATAGCTTATACGTAAGCCTATATGTTAACATATAAAATTTTATGTTTGTGTACTTATGCATACACATATACACTGTGTAAACACTAAGTGCTATTATTATTGTTTCATTTTATTTCTCTCCCCAAACAGTGTTTCTCTTGCAGGTAGTCTGCTTCTTGCAGCCCCTGATTTTTCATTTTTAATTCCCCTAACTTCCTCACCAGACCCCAGTTGTTGCACACATAGATTCTTTTGTACAATAGTTTGGTGGATATCCGAGTGGCGAAGTGAGGACATTTAACCAATGCTGATGGAGCGCTCTTCCCACGCCTTGCTTCTGCAATAGGTTGTGATTCTATATAGCCAGAGCCACAGTTCTATGGTATAACTCACTCTGGATCACTCCATTGTCTCAGAAGCCCATCCCTTCCTTCAGAATGGGGAGGAAATCAGGCCAATCATATTTCAACTTAAAAATTACCTTGTTCTTTAAGTTTCTCCAGCAGACCGGCATTTCTTAATGCTGCGGGGCCTTTTTCTACCCCTCCTCGTGGCTGAACAATGAAAAAGGAAAGTATTTCAGTCATTATCATGACTATTAGATGCCCACAATAAGAACTTTTTCATTAATCAGCTGAATTTTAACTGTCATTTCTTGACCTCCCACAAAGCCAACAATTTATATTCTCTCATTTAATCTTCCCAGTGAGGCAGATTGAATTACTTCTATGCCAAGTAGAAGGAATGAGATTCACAAAATTGCATGATTTTCCTGTTTGCACACAGCTAATGAGTCTTTGGACTCCAAAATCTGTATCCCCTCTTCCCATCATACCATGTTGTCCACAGAGTAAACACATATTTTGTGCAAAAAAGATGCTGATAGATGGAGATAGAATAAAGAAAAGGAAAAGTCTCCTGTCTTTGAGTCACTCATAAGGCAATAGAAAATTTGAACACTTAATCACAATTTTAATACACAGAGAGCTGCTTCAATACAGATTCAAGATGCCATAGTAACAAATGCAGGATGCTTCTAATTTGGTCCAGGACAGGTGTGTCGGTGAAGGCTGCCTAGAATAAATTATCTTTGAGCTGAGTCTTGCAACACATGTAGCTTATCAGGAGAAACTTTGTAAACGAGTGGAACAGCTTAGACAAAGGCATCCTAAGAGAAAGAATTCTGCCTCAAAAGGCCCACATGCAGGTCCTCCCAGAGGTAAATTAGGGCTCTTGAGGAGATAGAGGCAACAGGCAAAGTTATCACCGGGGAACTGAAACCACAAAGAACAACCCTGTAATTTCAAGTTCTGACCTGCTTAAACAGGCAATGAGAAATTCTTGCCAAAAGACACATGTGTGTCACTAGTATTGGGGATGTAGCCCCAAACCAAGCAAATAAATTTCTCCCAGTTAAATGACAGATGACTTACCCTGGGTGCCAGGCAAATTCTCAATGTCACATTCCTGTCCCTGACTACAACAGAACTCACAGGTTCTGTTGATACATTTTGCTCCTTTACTCTGTTAAAATTTTATTTTTGATTGACACATAGTATTTGCATATATTTATAAGGTATGGTGTGATGTCTTGATTCGTGTACATACTGGGTGTTGATCAACTCAGAGTTATTGGCACATCCATCGCCATTAACTTTTACCATTTCTCTATGGTGAGTACGTCAAAGTCCTCTCCTTTGTTTTGAGGCACCTGATGTTAATGTTAACTGTATTCAGTCTGCTGTGTGTACATCAGAGCTGATTCCTCCTGGGTACTGCCAGGCTGTTGATCAGCCTCCTTGCATCCCCCATGAAGTACCTATAAGTAGCTTTGTGTCTGTTTTTATCTTTTACCATGGTTAGGTTCAATCTAAACTTTACATGTGGGATACTGTGTTGCAGAGTAGATCTGACAAAAGGAGGTACACAAAATTTGACAATTTGATAAAACTCCCTGGCCTTTTTCCCCTCTCCCTTTCAGAAGTTAGAATAAATCTCACAGGTCCCTGAGCTGACACTGTTTTTACTATGAGGGGATCATTAAATTCCTCGGTGACTTTTTTGTAGCATTCTTCTTTGTTTCTTTGAAGCTGCTTCTTATGACTGCTCTTTGCTCATTACTTGGTTTATATGCCCACTTTGGAACTTGCTTTGCCAGCTTCACTGAGGTTCTAAACAGAGCCCAGTCCCTACCTGGCTGTGAGTGTAAGATCTTACACTGTGAGTGTAAGATCAGTTCAGGTCAGACTTTGGAATCAGCAGACCTGTCTGGAACCACACAGTCAAGGCTTTGTGACCTGGAGCAAATTAGCAAATCTCTCTGAGCTTCAGTCAACCCAAATATGAAATAAAAAGAATGCCTACCTCACTATTTACTCACTCCCTTGCAAAGGGAGTGAGGCAGGAGATGAAGCTCTCTCTCAGACTCACCCTTTTAGTCAACTGCCCTGTAGTCTCTGTTTTGCCTGTGTGTCAACCCTTTGCTTCCCTTAGATAGGACAAGTGCTTCTATGCTGGTCATTTCCCCCTCTACTGTATGGCCTAGTGTAGAAAAAAAATCTGCCTTAGTTCTTACTATCACAGGACAATGAGCTCCGTTATCATGGCCATGTTTTAGTGCACGAAGAACTGTAGGGGGAAAGAATTACTGAGAATGTAAAAATGCACCAGGCTGCATTTTAAAGTACTATTCCCTAGAGAAGCTGTTATTATCAGGATTAGAGGTTCCCCCGCCCCCACTTCCTTTCTTTCCTCCTCCCTTTTTCCTGTTTATCTTCCCTCCTTCCCTCTCTCCTTCTATCCTTTCTTCCTTCTTCATTTCTTCTCTTTTCTTCCCTCATTCCTTCCCTCTCTCTTTCCTTCCCTCATGTCTTCCTTCCTGCCTGCCTTTCTTCCCAAATTCCTTCCTTCTTTCCCTCCTTCCCTTTTCTCCCTTCTCTCCTTCCTTCCTATGTTTCCTCATTCTTTCTTTCTCTCCCTCCTTCCCTCACTCCCTCCTTCCTTCCTATCTTCCTTTCTGTTTATTTCCCTTTTTTCTTCCTTTCTGCAAGTTTTTCAGTTCTCTCTGTGTTATAATAACAGGTGAGCATATTGTGGACTCTAAAAGGAACACATGTCAGCATGATGCCCCTGTGTTCTGGGAGTGCTGTCTGGAAAGTTGCCAGGGGAAGTGAAACAGTATTTACTCACAGTTCAAATGCAATTTGGGCCTCCAACCTCTGACCTCTCCCAATTTGTTTTGCAATAGAAAGCCAGAGTGCATAGCAAGAGTTCAAAATTAAAAGAAGTAAAAGGCTGTCTAGATTCTAAAACAACTAAGAGAAAGACCCCATTTAAAAAAAAAATCAACCACAGGTGTTGCAACCCACATATCTTATTTGGTTTGCTTTTTTTTCTTCCTCTTCAAGCACAGACTATATTGATGTCTAAGGCATTCTGCGTTCTCATTGTAATGACCAAAATGAGTGTGCCCAGGAAGAAAAAGACGGTCCATTTAAACATTGCTGGCATGTGTTCATTCACACTTAGGTGGCTCTGAGGCAATTTGGGAGTTTCATGAATCCATCAGCTTTATTAGTGTCACCAACATGTAGTATTTTTTGTTCCTTCCCCCAAAAAAGAGATACATAGAGGATTCTACTTAACTCATGATTCTACTTAACTCATTTATAGAATCATTTAAGCCCATGAATCCAGCATAAAAGTTGCATAAAGCAATAAACGTTAGGTCATCCAAATTAAAAGATTGCTGAAGGTTGACACCAATCTATTACATTTTTCTAGGCATTAGTTATGCAACCAAACAAATGTGTTCTCTTAAATTCTCTTTCCCACTACAGACTCAGCAAACATCACAAGCAACAAGACAGCAATGAAGCCTAGGTAAGGAGCAATATTCAGAAAGCCCATTTCAAAATACTCTTATTTAAATGTGAGTAAAGATCAGTATATTCAAATGAAATTGGCTTTGACTGAGACCAGGAGCTACAAAGTAGGTAGGTTTTATTATTATTATTGTTCAATGTCACAAAAAAGTAAGAAGACTTTAAACCATGAATTCTGTGGCCAGATTGTACAGGGAAACTTAACTAACTAGACAGTACCTCTTTACAAAGAAATGTTAAAAGTCCAAAATTTTCCAATATTCTGGTTCATCAAAGCCAGACTTTTTACTCACCTGTCCCTTAGAGAAAGGAGCTCCAATAATCCCAATGGGTTTTGACTTGGAACTCACGTTCTTGGACATGTCTCTCTGTTGCTATTCAAAGTTCTCCAGCTGGTGGCTGTCCTCAAAGACAGAGGGCACATCTTTTTTTCCCCACTTATACTTGGGTTGAATCTGTTTATCTTTATTTTAATGAGGGCAGCTGGCCCCACCTACTGAACAGAAGAATGACAGAGTCAACAGAAACTCTTGCAAATGCTTCCTACGTGGAATAAGCCTGATTTTCTGAGCACACATCTCTACTTAAGTGTGTGTTATTCATGTGCCTAGTTCACACCCTTTTTTAAAGAGGCAGTTGGGTGAGATAATATTTCCTCACTTACACGTGGTTTCATAACCACAAAAGAAATTCAATGGTTTAAGCTAGGCAACTTAGGTTCTCCAGGCTCTGAGTTCAACAAAGAGTTGTGGAGTGAAAACTGGGCTGGCAACACAAAATATTACTTCCCTTCCAGTTCTGACATCCGGAGCTAAGGTTTCACATGCCAGGATAAATAGCTAATTCATGAGACACATTTCATAAACGACTGAGGTGGACTCTCAGGGAAAGCACCTGACTTCCTTTTTGATTAGTATTTAATTAAAGAAAGAAATCAGTTACTCAATGGATAACCCAAAAGTGTTACCATTTTTGAAATATAACGTGAAATAAAAATAGCATTTTTGAAATCATAATCAAGATATAAAAATAGCTACATGGAGGATTTTTATGTGTCTAATGCCCTCTTGTTTTGTATTACCTCATTTTATCTTCACCCCAATTTTAGGCTAGATCTCCTCATTAGTGCCCTTTTACTGAAGTTTAGAGAGGCTGCTTGAAGGTCAAGTGCAGGTTATAGAGGAAGAGTCAAGATTCATTGTGGACCACTAACCACCCAGCTTCCAGTCTAAGCACCAGCAAAGTGTCAGATATTAACCACCTGAATGCCCAGAGAAGTTATTTGTCGTCACGCAAAAGTGTGAATTTAGAAGAGAGCTACTCCTCCTCCCCTTAAAATTGCATGATTTGTAATATAAAAGGAAAACCACTTAACAGAAACAAATTCCTTTTTCCTGTTGAGGGAGAAAACATTGCGGGGAATTTAAATGCCATTAGACAGAGATTCTGTCTGCTGTACCCCCCAGTGCGCACGACAGTGCTAATGTGGGGTGAACACTAAACCCATAGTAACTGAATGAATAGATGAGGAAATCAGGGTTGCTCTGGACCGTTTTGATAGGACTGTTTTCAAATAGGTTTCCAACATTTACTTGTGGTTTTGCTTCTATATTGTACATATACACTGTGTGTGGGGGGGTTGTTCCTATTGTTGCTGTTGATTCTCGCTTTATGCCCAGGCTGGCAGTGAACTAAAAACCCTCCTGCCTCAGCCTCCCAAGTGCTAGATTACAGGTGGACACCACCACACCCAGCCAAGATTTGCTGTCTTTTAAATTTCATTGCCATGTATGAAAATAATGAAGTCCATTAAAAACAATAAAATCAAAAATGTAGGACTGGGTAAGAAAGGGTAACAGAGAGTGTCATGTGCTGTGGCTCATGCCTATAATCCTACTCAGGTGGTAGAAATTGGAAAGATCGAAGTTCAAGACCAGCCTGAACAAAAAGTAAGATCCCATCTCAACCAATAAAAAACTGGGCATAGGGTCACACACCTTTCATCCCAACTATGGAGGAAGCATAGATAGGAAGATTGTGGTCCAGGTCATCCCAAGCATAAATGCTATTTGAAAAAAACCTAAAATCCAAAGGGCTGGGGAAGTGGTTCAAGTGGTAGAGTGCCTGCCTAGCAAGCTCAGGGCCCTGACGTCAAACTCTAGTATCACCACCCCCAAAAGAAGACTAAAAGAGGGGGTAAATATGATCAAAGCAAATTATGTGCATGTATGGAAATATAACAATGAAATCCTTTTGTACAATTAATTTACACTAATAAAACAAAACAAATTTCATTACCAGAAATTTTTCTTTGAAAAAACTCCAACATTCCAAAGTCTTTTCTATATTCTAAGCTGAGGTTGCCTTCCTGTCATCTGACCTGCTAGTCACAACCCTTTGATTCAAGTATAACATGCTGCTTCTTGGCTATCATGCATGTATTGCTGAGGTCTCCTTTTTTCAGAATGACTGTCCCTCAATACATCCTGTACTACATGATTCACCAACAGAATCACTCCTTCCAAACAACTTCCAACTTCCCTGTGCCCTCCTTGAATGGGGAATCCAGAAGCCTGTATATCCATTCAGGTATAGATGGAGTCATTTGGTCCTTTAAACACAAAATCATTAGTGCTTACATTTTCTGTGGCACTCAGGAGGACAGAGAACTATGAAGTACTTATGTCAGAGTTCTGTGTCATTTCCTCAGGAGCCTCAACCCAAAGTGGCACCACCCTATTAATCAGTCATCAATCTCTAGGGATAGCTGTTGACTAATTCCCAATGCCACCATTCCATCTTCCCCATATGGCAGCATAAGGAAATCTATCAAGTGCCTCAAAAAAAAAATCTCACTATACTTTACCACTTTCTGTCATGTACCTATTAAAGGAGATGAGGTGTTCTCGACAGGTCCAGTTCTTGGTGACCTCATGCTGACTTCTGATTTTCACTGCTTCCTGTTTGTCAAAAACACAAATCATCTTTTCAACCTCCAAAGCTGTCACCACCAGACTTCTATAGGTAGAAGGTGGGGGCATCTTACCCATGTCATTCTATCAGAGCTCCACTTTTCCAGTCCATTCTAGAAGATTATGTATTGAGTGGTTTTAAAAAAAATACAAAAAAAAAACCAACTAACAATTTAGCTCTCTCTCTCTCTCTATCTTTGTCTCTTTCTGTGTGTGTCTCTCTCTCTCCCTTTCTCTCTCCCTCTCCCCCACCCACCCATACCTTGTCTGGTATTTTCATGATTATAAGACCTTCATCCAAAGACACTACATTGAGATATGGTACACATTAGGCACCTTATTAGTTTCCCTGGCTGCTATAACAAAATACCACAAACCGGGTGGTTTAAAACAGCAGAAAATGATTGTCTAGTCTCATAGTTTGAAGGCCAAAGGTCTAAAATCAAGGCATCAGCAGCATCACACTGCCTCTAAGACCTGCAGGGGATCCTTTGTCTTTCCTTTGTTCCTACCAGTTTTCTGGCAGTCATTGGTGCTATTCAACTTGCAGCTCCATCACTCCAATCCTCCATCTTCACTTGGCATCCTCCACACCTCTGCTTCCTGTATCTCTGTGCTCCATAGAGTCAAAAACAAACAGTTTTTTGGCAGTACTGGGGTTTGAATTCAGAGTTTTATGCTTGAGTCATGCTTCCAAGCCTTTTTTCTCTGGTTGTTTTTGAGATAGAGTCTCACTTTTTGCTGGGGCCCACCTGAACCACAATCTTATTAGCTGGGATGACAGACACGCACCATATGCCAAGCTTTCTCCACTGAGAAGGGGTCTTGCAAACTTTCTTTTTTTGCTTGGGAATATTGATCCTCCTGATCACAGCTTGCTACGTAGTCAGAATAATAAGTGCACACCACCATGCTCAACTATTGGCTGAGATGGGGTTTCATGCACTTTTTGCCTGGGCTGGCCTGGAACCACACTCCTCCTGATCTCAACCTCCTAAGTAGCTAGGATTACAGGCATGAGCTACCAGTGTGTGACTTTGGTCATCTTTTCAGGACATTAGTCATAATGTACGTAGAACCTAGTACTTCAGAATGAGCTCATATTCAACTAATGTTTTTCAAATAATAAAGAAGATTAATAAAAAGGATAATTTTAATAATAGTAATTTTATGACAAAAAGGACCAGCACATACCTCCTAATCCTCTCTCTACCTGATTCTCCTTTTGATGCTTCAAATTGTGGTCCATTTCTGCATTGGGTTTTCATCACCTGGCTAACAGACAAGACCCATTTCAGTTGAAGCCCAGGATTCGATTTGCTTTTATAGTTTTTATAAGCACACATTAATAGTACAAGGAGGTTTCATTGTGATAATTCCACAGATGTATACAGTGCACTTTGGACAAGTTGCAAACTATTATATTCCCTTAACTCCTCTCCCTATCTCCCCTCTTTTTAAACAGTGTTTGGTGGGTTTTATTATACTATCTTCGTGTGTGTGTGTGTGTGTGTGCATGTGTGTATCTGTATACTTCAATTCTCTTCACCTCCTAGTTCCCTATCTTTTTGCCCTCCCACTTATCCCCTCCAAAAAAGTCCCCCATTTACACTCATGGCCTTATTATTACTATTATTATCATTATTATTGTTATAATCATTTTAGGTCTACAATCCACATATGAGTGAAAAAATGTGATATTTGACTATTTGAGCTTGGCTTATCTTGAAGCCCAGGATTCTTAGCCTGTTTTTAGAGGCTGGAAAATTCACAAAATCCACAGGATTAGATCTTAAAGGGTATGAGTTCAAGGAACTATTTTGCTTAGTTCCCAGACTCCTAAAACCCAATAGAGTAAGGATAGGTCAGTTCCCGGAACACTGTGAGTTCATGTAAATGTTCAGACTTACTCATGTTTCTGGGTAGGATCTCTTATGTCTGAGGCACACAAGTGAGTGACCACAAAAAAGGTGCACTCTGAGCATCTGACTCATGTTGCTTCATAAGAAATAAAACTGTATTTCTGTAGACTCTTCCTGTCTACTTCCTTTCTTCCATCTTTACTCACCCAGACTTGAAGCAATATTCTTTTTTATTATTATAAAATTTTTATTAGGATATATTCGTTATACAGGGGGGATTCATAGTGACAATTCCAATTAGACTTATGCTGTATATTAGTTAGATCATCCACGTCGTCTCTCACTCTCAACCAGTATTCTTTTTTTTTTTAAGTAAGAGTCTTTTTATTCAATTATAACTAAATTTTTGTTTGCTAAATTTTGCACAGAATAACCGTAAGATATTTTATGTATCCCTTGAGGTAACTACAAGGAACACATTTCTAATAGAGACACAATGACAAAGCAAAAGAAATCAAAGCACACCATATCAGTAAAAATAAAATACCGAGCAAGATAGCCAACTAGATTGAAAGGAGGGATCAGCAACTACAAAAGTCAT